TTTCTTAATACTTTTCTTAACTTTTGGAAGGCATCTTTCAATATCCCAATGCATCTTTGGATATTGGCATCACATTTTTGATAGTTGGAAATTTCAGTTATTTTCCATAAGTGATGTTAGAAAAAATCTCATTCCTGCATTATGCTTAAAATATGTGCTTTGTCATATTTATATAAGCTTCAAGTTAAAAAAATCAAACACTCTATGGAAATACTCTCCTTATAAAAAACTAGCAAGACAATGTAACATAAATGACTTTTTAAATGATTAAATTTTATTTTATATTTTAAATCATTTATTCATTTTTCTTTCATTTCAATAAAGAAATGACACTATAACTATAATCCAACCTATTATTCAACAGAACATAAAAGTGGAAATATAATCTTTTTTTTTTTTTTTAAATGGATAATATTTTACCATCAGTCATATTGGGAATATGTTAGATTTAAAATTCTTCTTGCTTTACCTTTCCAATATAATGCAAAATAAATATTTAAAAAATCATGAATATTTTAAAATAACAAAAATATTTTCTTAGGCTAAAATTGTCCAAAATATGTATGATAATATAGCTTATTGAACTGCTTGCTAAGATACAGCACAATTATGGCACTGTGGCACACAGATTTAAATTCAATATAAATCACTATAAAGCAGAGATAGAATTAATTTTATATTACTTTTTTTATCCTTTTTAATAAAATTTGTTGCAGCATCACTATTTCATTTTTTGTAATTCAAAACACTGTCAAGATTATTAATGTCATCTATAGTTTTCAATAAAATATATTTGCGGCATAATACTTGATAAAAATCATTCAATGTGAGAAGACAAATAACATGTAAATCAATTTTTTTCTTTTTTATCTATTAAAAAGACAAAAAAAAAAACAAGACATTTAAGTCTGGTTACTCATGCTTGCATATCAGGTGTAACAAAAAGTTTCAATCCTATTTTATTTTTTATTTTTTGTTGTGTAGATGTATTTTTAAGTGAGAAATTTTAGGTTAAAAGCAGCAGACAAAAAATTTTGCCTTTACCATTGAATGAATTGAGTAAGTCTGTAAATTTACTTGTTTTTTTTATTTTTATGTAAAAAGGTTTCATTCTTTTTAAAATTCATGTGACTATTTGCTATCTATTTTTATACACTGACTTTTTCTTTGAGTACCAATCTGTACTGATTTATTTTGACAAAGCAAAGTCTGGTAAAAGGGAATCAGTTATGAGCATCTAGTGAGCATCTATTTTCTTCTTGTATGTTCCATGTCCATTCATGTGAGTGATCATGGCTCTCTACAACTTCCTATCCTTTGTGGGCCTTAGCATCATTCTTCCTTAGCCAAGCCTCCTGCACCTCCCATTCTACCATCCATTCACAGAAGCTCATCAGGTAGGTGACCCACTGCCTTCTCTTATCTCTCTTGCCTTCATTATACTCTGTGAGGGTTAAGTTTGACAAGTCTTCCTCTTTCATTATGTGGCCAAGAAATTTCAGCTAACTCTTTCTGATTCTGAGTATATGTTGTTTTGGTGACCATTTTCTTTAAGAGCTCCTCATAGCTGACATGCTCCCTCAGTAGTATTCTCAGTATTCTTTTATAGAACCACATTTCTGCTGCTTCCAGTTTTCTCTTAATCTGTGGTGAGATTTTTGAGCATTCACTAATATCACATAGCTATTCAACATTCTTTTCTTTGTTTCTAAAAATTTTCCTGTTTCTTAGTATTTTGTTTAGCTTTTGGAAGGCATCTTTCAGTAAATCAATGTGCATTCAGAATTAACCTTCTGTAAGTGTTTGATGTTAATATCTCCCATTTGTAGTTGCCACCTTGGGCTTTTTCTCTTGCTGATGACTATACATTCTAGTGAATTTAAAATTGTTCCCTTTACATAAATATCTGTGTAGAGAGGGATGATGATAATGATAATAATAGTCAGAGATAAGTATATGAAAGTTTAAAAAAATGAACAAAGAGACAGACTGCAATCCATTGCAGATTGTCTCTTTGTTCATTTTTTAAACTTTCATATATTTATCTCTGACTATTATTATAGTATATGGTAAAAAGTTTCAAAACTAAATACAGTTTTAAAAAATTTCAATTGTTTGTATACTAACATTTCATCAATTAGAATGCCCTTCAATAAAAAAAAAAAAATGTCCTAAATGATATTTTTTGTAATCTTGAGGAATTTTAGAGAAGTTCTACCATACTTTGATGAGTGAGTTAAAGAGTATGATGAGAAAATATAAACAATAAAAATCCACTATTGATTTATATCTGAGTCAAAATGTTAGGTTGCATGGTAGAAATTTAAAAGTTTATAGCCATATTTTTAGTTTTTTTGTTTAGTGAAGCCTATATATAACAGAAAAATTTAATACAGAAATCCAAGGGTACATTGGAATAATGAAATAGTCCTTCCAAAAGCTTTAGCTTAGTATTAAGAAACAGGAAAATTTCATTAGAAAAAAACAAACAAAAATAAGTGCTGAAATTTTATGTAATACTAGCAGTAGATCCTGGCATTGACGGGGATGTAACAGTAAGAGATAGATCAAGTATCGAACATCATAAAGACTGAAAAATAAAATTGACAAAGATTATTGTTTAAGGTTGATGGACAGACATGTCTTAATTAGTTTTATTTTTGTTTTTTTTTACGAATTGGTCAAACCCAAACTCAAACAAAAACATTGTTTTCAATCATTATGAGTCTATCGATTGAATAGAATTTTATTATAAACAATTGTCTTGTAAATGGAATTTTTAAAGCATTCTGAATGTAAAAAATAAAGAAAAAGTGTGCAAGACAATAAGAAACACTACCTGTAAAAAAAAAAAAAGTGAAATTTTGTTGAAATTGGTTGAAAATGGGAAATCCCATCCCATATATAAACAAACAACACAAACACACACAAACAAACAGTATAACAGTTGTCCCCTTTCATTCTGGCGACAAACAACCTTGCATTATTAGAAATATTCATAGAAATATGATTTAAATTTTTTTTTAAAACGGAAAATAACTGAGTTGAAAATAATATAGACGATCTTAAGGGAAGAAGAAGGAAAGAAAAGAAAAAAAGAAAAGAAAGAAGAAGAGAGAAAAGAGTTGTTGATCCCCAATTGAGGGTGGAGATAGGAGTCAGAAAGAGATTTTCATTGGAAGAATAGAATTATAAATAATAAGAAGAAAGAAAAAAGAGACAGAATCTTGATGGAAGCCAGATATTTAGCCTACTTTTCATGGAAAGTTTTCAATTTGGATAAAGAGAAATTTTGAACAATGAAAAAATCTTAATCAGAGAAATTCTTTGGGTTGACCGGTGGAACGATATACAGATATTTTCCGTTAATAAAGTGGAGACATTTTAAGATTTTCGACTATCAGGAAAAACAAAGAGGTAAAAGAGAGACAATTGCTTTTGGCTCACAGAGGGCGCCAAGAAGGCGGAAAAGATCCTTTCTAAAGTCAAGACTAATTAGCAGCGGGCTGTTGACAAAGTCCAGGTGAGAGAAAGCCAAAGATTGTCATTTTTGCGTGACGTGCAAAAGGGAAAAATTGGATTTTGTTTTTTAAACAAGAACGATGTAACCACGCCCGCAAACAGAGGGGGAGGATTTATAACAATTGGCAGTCCGGAAGAAAAGGGAAGAAAGAAATGCTCGATCAGGAAGATTTTGTTGAAATCAGTTGAGGCGAAAAAATGATAATGGGAAATGCAGTTTTGGAATTATCCAGTATATAAACACATAGAAACACACACACACACACACACAAGAAACACAACGAAGACAAGAGAACTTCCACAACAGACGAAGAAGGAATTGCTCAAGGACGCCAAGAGTTGTGGCAGAGTTTTTATAAGCGAGAAAAGAACCCTCAGACAAGAAGAACTTCCAGCCCAATAGATGAAGAAGAAGATTGCCTGAAAGCCTGAGAAGAATTGGAGCTGCAGACAAGCCGAAAGTCGATGAGTTAAAAGTTCAGCTCCGGACGGCAGTATGGCAAGAAATCTTCCACCAATGAAACAGGAAAACTACCAGCCAAGCAGAAGAAGAAGAAGATGAAACAACTGCGAATGAGGTAGAAATTAGCCCCAGAGAAGATGTGGTTTTCCACAGAGCGGGTCGGGAAATGAGAACTTTTGACGGACTTTAAGATATAAATACCCTTTTTATCAGCAATTTTGTTTGGTGTCGTGAGTTTTTATTTTATTTGAGCATCGGCCCCGATCCCTGCTGGTGTCTGTCTAAGCAATGAGGAAGTTTAAAGAAAATCTGGGAATGAAAAGGACATTTTTAGAAAGAGATCCAAACTGGGCCAAATGTAACCGTCACAATGTTTTCAAATTGATTTTGTGCAAAAACAATTGTGTTTTTTCAATTTTGGTGGAGAAACATAAGGTTATTTTACAGTCCTGTGAAGTTTTGTTGAAATCAGTTGAAAAATGTAGGAAATCTGATCCAGTATATAAAACACACACACACACACACACACAAAACATCTATATGAAGGACAATCTCTACAGAGATGAGAGATGTGGTTTTTAGAAAGCACTAAGAAACATGTGAGCAATGAGGAAGTTTAAAGAAAATGGGAATGAAAAGGACATTTTTACTTAGAAAGAGATAATTGAAATGAAGAAGACTTGGAGAACATAACACTCACAAAACATCATGAAGGCAAAGAGGATTTGAAGGAAACAGTGAGTAATCTATATAAAGTGCTTGTGTAAATAGATGGCAGAATAGGGATAGGGAAAGATAGTAAGGAAACAAATATAAATCAGAGCTACAAAGAAGAGGAAGTCGTGGAGAGCCATGATCACTCCTATCTTGAAGGGTCATTGTACATCAAAGAATAAGGGATATAAACGTAATTATTTCAATAAGCTACTTTTTCATTGCATCATAGTATATTAATACTTTTGTATATATGTGTATGAATTTAAAAACAAATTCTCAATGCTCACATCTATCTCATGTTGAAACACCAGTTCTTGTATGATCACCAAAGTTAAGCAAGATAGAGCTTGGTCAGTACCTAGATGGGTGACTGCTTGGGGAAACCAGGTGCAGCAAGTTTGGATGTACAGGTAGTGTAATGGATAATGAATTGAAATTGGAAAGTGTTATGAGAGAGAATATTTCCCTACAAGTTTAGACTTGGCCACCGGATGAAAGACATAAAAATACTCCTACATCAAGAGGAGTAGCAGCAGTAGCTTTTGCTGAAAACAGTGATTCACAGTAAACATTCTCTTCCCTAGTTTCTATTCTACATTATGTTTCCCTGTACCAAAAGGTAATAAACTTGTTAAACCAATTCCGGTTTTCTGCTGTTGCTTTGATAACTCAATTACAACAGAAAGCCAAGTTCCACTTGGGTTCATTATTTTCACTTACATGCAAATAACCTTGAGAAAGCTATGAATCCACCTCTTCTCCCTCCAGCTGTCGGTTAATTAGTAAAATCAGTAAATCCTTAAAATCTAAAAATATTTTGTGGCTTTGGCCTTTAGCACTCTGCATTATTAATATTACTTCCCTTTGCACTGCATTCTTTTTTTAGAACTCTCAGTTGTAGTAACCTGATTGTTAATTTCACTCAAAGGTGTTTTCTGTTGCCATAGCATGATATGACAACACAAGTATAAAATTCAAACAAATTCAAATTCAGGAATCAGAGTCACCTTCAGTGGCAAGATAAATCTTTAAAACAGCAGATGAAGTCACACACAGAGTGATAAAGGTTAAATAACCTGCAAAAGGTTGATAAACTGTAAAAAATAAATCAATCAAATTCTTAACACATCTTAAGAATTAAAACAATTGTTTTCTGAATCATTAGTGTTGTAGCATACCTATAGACAATAATGGTTTATGTCTCCATTCACATAAATACAGTATTAAATACTGTATGTTGGTTTGCAGTTGGAGATTGTGGAATTCTCTTGACTCACTTCTCGCAATTGACTACTTCTACATGCCGTTGGTGAATCGTATATGTGTTGTTCTTGTCCTAAATATTATCTTTCATTACCAACCTTTGTTTGATTATTCTATTCTGCAACCTTCCCTAGGTTACAACACTTAGTTACATACTGATTCATCAACTTCATCATTTCTTTTTATCAATGTCGTAATATTTTCTTCACACCAATTTTTTGAAAATAAATACTAAAATTATATGATGTGATAACATCATATACTTTTATTGTTTTTCATTATTGAGCTCATACTTAGGTAATTGTCTTTTTTTCATTTCTCCAATTGACATTTTAAATAGAATTGAAAGAAATAATGAAAATTATTTTAAAGGAAGAGAAAGAAACAAAGGAGATTAAATTTTAACATTATTTTGAATTAATTGAAATAAATACAGCAGAAAAGAACCATGAATTAAAAAAGAAAATAATAATGAATATTAATTATTATAATTATTCATCAGCAATGTTCCTTTCATTTCTTTTCTTGAGCTTTCTTGGGAATATTTTCCTTCAAGATTGCCTTTCATTCAAATGATAGAAGCTATAGCAATATCTGATTAAATGTGGTAAGAAATCTTACTTTTTGTTTTTTTCTTATTCTGTCAATACCTGTAAAACATCATTTCAGTTTGTGAAAGTGGCTTTCCTCATTTCTTATAAATGTATTTCTGATTCTTATTTTTTATCCTTTTTTTCTTCTTCACTGTTCATATCTGTTTCAACAGAGACCTATTCCACTCTTTTAATCACTGTCTATAAATATATTTGCATATCCTGCTCTTTATTTACCTTTAAAACATTGTAATCACCCTATTTTCTGATGTTCACACTTTACCGAGTTTCTTTTTTGTCAAAATCAACTTTGCATAAACTTCTGAATTTTCATTTCATTTCCCCTAGTTTCACCTGCTCTTTTACACCTCACCCCCCCCACTGCCAATATAGATTAAATAAACACATTTTCCATTTGAAACTGCACTGAAATGGGTGGAGGGAAAAAGCATAATCAACTATCCCTAGTTTTGAGAAATATCAATGCCTGCATATAAAATAAATATAAAATATTTTTATTGAATGGAGTAAAAATCCTAGGAATTTTGGATTTGGAAAAGAAAAGGAAGAAAAAAAAAAAAGGAAAAACAAAAAGGAAAAAATGAAAAAAGAAAGGAAAAGAAAGAAAGGAAAGAAAAAATGCAAAGAAAAGAGGAAAAAAAAAAAAGAGGAAAAAAAAAAAAAAGAAAAAATTACCCCCAAAAGACAAGTAGCATTTGCACAATGGAAAATGTGAATGCTTTCTCAGAATTTGATAAAATATATTAAAATCAATTTATGCCTGACTGAGTTAATGATAGAAAATATCAATCAGCTGTTTGGAATTTGCAAAAAAATTTCCATGTTTTGTCAACAATGAGAGGAAATCTATAAAGTGGAGTGTCTCAAGTCAGTTTCAGGGGTAGTCATTCTGATCACAAGACTTCTAAAGAAACCAATAAAACAATGAAAAGATGACACTAATATTCCATTACTGTCAATTCAGAAGGCAGTTTTCAAATTTATTTCAATGATATTCTTGTATAATATTTATGACTAAAATGGAAAGTATAAAGTTAAATATTTCTCATTTTCATTATATAAATGTGAATATGACTTTTGATGCATTTACATTGGTATCATATCTTGAGAAATTTGAATTCCTATATACTGAGAAATTTTGGATTTTTTGTTAAAAAAACAAGAGTATTATTTTGTTGCAGTTTTTGTTCTTAACTAATTAAAAAAGTAAATATTCTTGTCTTAATTAAAACAACTTTCATTGAATAAGGTTCATTTGATAAATAATAAGATATACATAAAAAACCTGTATGAATTTTATCAGTTGTCAGCAGTTTAGCCTGACTAATTAATCATGAAATTGTTTTAAATCTAAAGTATTTTTTGGTCTTTGCTGGTTATCAAAATTCAAATTAGATATTAATTTAAAATGAAAAGGACATTATTTAAATCACATTATCAGTCTTGAGACATTTTCCAATTATAAACAATAAAAAAAGCATACTGTCAAACAATTCTTTTATGTAATTGGAAATCTTATGCGATTTGGTTATTTTACTTAATCTCAAATTAATAATATTCATTATTAGAAAAGCATGCATTTAGATAAAGGATATACAACTAAAAAATTTATAAATAGAAAATATTGGTAAAATAGTTTTATGTGAAGTAATTAGAAAATAATATTTTATAAATAAAACTTGGATATCAGAGGACAGATCAGTTGAGGTTTCCTTTACAATTTAACTGACTGAAAGATCAAACCAACACAACATTGCTGTAAAAATTAGTTTCATACAACGCCACAAGTTGCTACATAGCCAAAACATTAACACAAAAACCTGAGTCATGTTCTTAAATAGCCTTTTTCACATTGAAACTTTCATATGAATGTCATGCATGTCACTCATCCTGTTTAGAAATATCTAAATGCTTTCTCAGATTGATGGTTAAAAAGGGCTTTGAGCAAATGAAATCTGTAGGTTTTAGCAGGAACCATCCCTTCTTTGACTAACACTACAGAATCAGAAAAAAAGAAATTCAACAAATAATAGAAATCATATTACTTGAGGACTTTCAGCCATGGTAACAACCAAAATAGAAAGTACATGTAACACAAAGAAAATAATTAATTAATCAAGACATTCCATGTTACTTCAAAAAGTTCAAAAGAAAGCCTCCATCCATACTGGAAAGAGCAATAACAGTTAGTGGACCTGAGAATCTTATTATCTTGAAAAATTGATTTATATAAATTTCAACCGACAGTAGCAATGGTTGTTTGATCAATTAAATGTTTCCTTATAAGAAACCAGTAATATTATCCTTCGAGATGAGGAGAACAGATACTACACTTGATATTTACTCATCCTCCCACAGTGACAGGAAATTGTACAAGGCCGGTTTTAAGAGGGGAGTCCTAGTGCATACACATGGCCCAAGGCTAAAATTTGCCTAGTCTCTGCAACCAATATCAAACTGGCTTCAATATCCCCTACTCCCTAAAGCAGGGTTGAAATCTTTGGGACCAGCATCTTTCATTTATTTGTTGTGTTCTGTCTGTGACAGAAACATAATTGAGAATTTGGCTGCTTGAAGACAGATATTACTGTTTGATTGCAAACCAATGGCCAGGTAATGAAGAAAAGTCTAACTCAAGTAGCACTGGCAGTTCAGTCAATGAATGCTGAACATTTCCTTATAAGGAAACAACTAATATTATCATTCCTATTATTATGAATAATAGAAACTTAAATCTTCTGTAAAAGAAAAGCCAAATGTTGAATAATAAATCAGAAATGTTTGTAACTGAGATTTGTCTTGCAAACATTTTTTGGTTGGTTTTGATCAAAGTGCTACTAACCCTATCAATCAAAAGTTGATTTTCTCTGACAAAATAATCAATATATTGTAATCCAAAATTTCCATTTACCACAACTTTGCTCCTTGGATGAAATTTTAAGACTTTTATGTGATCCTGCCACAATATTTAAAAGCCAAGCAGTTGACATCCAAATTACTAGTTACTAGATTTAGTCTCTTAAGCCAAGGGCCATTTAAACTTACACCAAGGTTTCAGAACAAAAACTATGATTCATGCAAGAAACTCACAACTGACAATCAAACTCAGTTTATTTATTTCCATTGGTGGAATCTGAGTTCAGAGTATTTTGCACAGTAGATATTCATTTATGAAAAATAATGACTTATGTTCTTGATCATTTGAGGTTCTATGAAGAAAGTTGTCAGTTTTCATTCTGACTCACACTTCAGTGAATAACTGCTTGAAAGTAATGATGGTAATTGAAAGCTTTCAACCTTTGAGAAACTACATTGTAATTTTTCTTTCTTTAAAATGACTAAACAAAAGCCTGATGACCATTTTTTTTTTTCCTGGAAAACATCTGGAGTCTCAATAATGAAAGCTTCAAGTACTGAATCTCATTTAACAATGAAATGCTCTTGCCTACATTTACATCATTTAAAGGAGCAATTTTAGTAAAGCATTATATTTAAAAAATTTTTCTTTTTTCCATAGTC